TGGGCCAAGGACTTCATCTTCATGTGGGACACCTGGGGCAGGGGCCTGATCCACATAAAAATACCCTGTCTGGGCTAGAGGCCTTGTCCTGCAGAGTCGAGGTCTCCTCTTGGGTGGGGTCTTCTCTAGAGTCAGAATTTCCTCTGGGCTAGGAGCCTTATCCGGAGAAGGGATATTCTGTGGGCTGGTAGTCTTGCCCAGAGTAAGAATTTTATTCAAAGAGGCTTTTGCTCCGCTGCTCCACTCCTTCTGACTGGTTGAAGAGTGTTGCCGGGAAGCCTGGGTTCTGGATCACTTTCTGTAAGGGTGGCCTGGACCCCCACTGAGGAGGCTGCCATTGGAGCCAGAGTCTCAGGAGGGGTGGTTTCTGACTGTCTCCACCAGGTATCCAAAATGGCTTGGCTTTGCTGTGCTCAGTGGGGGCTGTCATCAGCTTCTTGACTGTAGGGTAGACTGTTTTAGTCATCATCTTTTTTGGTTCCTCAATAGGAGCTGTTTCTTGAGATACCACTTGTCGTGGGGCCAGTTTCCTGTTTGGGGGTGGTGAGAGCACAAAGTTGTCTGGGAAAACTCTTCTTTCTTGAGAATATCCTTCCCACCAGCCCATATCTTCTGTGGTCTTTCCTCAGGTAGTCTGGAGAGCTGTCATAGGTCAGGCTGCTCAACTCTTTTGTCACTTCCACAATATCCCAAGCTTGCAACTTTAGCTCATCCACCTACTCTGGGTTGTAGCTGAAGTTCACTTTTAATCATCTTTGGGGGCCCCAAGATTTCGTGGAGTGACCTGGGTGGGGAAACATGAGTGAGGCCGCTCAAGCCTAGTGCCCCAGTCCACTGAGCTCCCACACATGTTTTTGTACCTGAGTTGTTTAATAAAATCATACAAATCCTTTCATTTTCACTAGTTTGCACTGACCTTTATTTAACCTTGCCACCATAATAAAGAACAATGGAAAGAACATAGACTTGGGGATTATATCTTAGGTTCATAGCCCTGGATTCCAGAGATCCAGATTCTGCAGAGGCTGAAAAGCAAAAACCAGGTATAGGGCAGTGAATTTCTTTGGGACTTAATACTGTCCAAGTATTTATTATGGAATTGAACTTTCCTGCGAAAATTTTCAACTCTCATTTCTCTGTGAAAATCTACTAATCGTTGGGATTCATATTGCTCAAAGTAAGGACATTATTATACTAATGTGAATTTAGGGGATAAGGGAAGCTAAGATGTGTTAAAAGATAATCTGAGATACATTAAAATGTTCAAGAGTTCATTTGAGTATACATCCATTCAAACTGGGGCAGCGCCAAACCAAAAGTGGTTAGGAGCACTCCACTGATAGGAGCTAGGTGAGAAGCTTTTATAAATGTGGAATTAAACAAGGAAATTATTTGATTGGCTATAGCTTAAGTGGTTGCCTTATATGGGAAAGCCTAAACTGGCTGCTTGCAATAGGCTGTTCTTAAGCTTCATTTTCTTAAATTCCAGCACATAGACTCTGGTTGAGGTATGGTTTGCTTGTGTAGTCTACTAAAGCATTAGAACCGTCTCAGTCTGCCTCATTTAATAACTTTAATAGGTGGATTTATTGAAAATAGAATGGGGGGGTAGTTTAATGCATTGTGTGGCTTTCAAGTAAAACTAATTACAGCCCTGTTCTAGCTCATTGTAGAAGCACTGGGGGCGGGGGGGGACAAAATATGAAACTCTCATCTTACCTGTTTCAGAGAGAAATAAACATCAGGAGAGAGGCCAAGTGAATGAAGCAATGGGATTTTCCTCTAGCCCAGGGCCTGGATCTGACTTATATATTTTCTGTTAAGCCCAGGGGTTGAGAGAGAACTAAAATTGAGAGGGTGAGGCTCCTAGGAGTGAGGAAGAGAAACTCTCAGTACCTTTCCTCATCCTGGGAAAGTTTCCTTTCTCCATTCTCTGATCCTACAATCTCTACTGTTCTCTCCAAGAACAAGGCACCCTCAAATGATTGATTAGATACTGGAACACAGTCTATGGATTCTAACTGGCCACATTACCAGTGGGTGGGATTACTATGCTACGTAAGGTTACCTGGCCTGGGAGGCTCCTCTCTTCAAGATTTTCCTACCATGGGCTGAACGGGCAAGCTGAGGCAGGAAATAGTCACTACAATAGGCTGGGCCATCCTGTTTTTCTCTTTGCTTTTTCTCAACTGCATGTTGTATCTTGCAGTAAGAACCTTTGAATCAGTGGCCAGTAGGTGTTAAGACTGAGATTAAGAGACAATCAAGAGTTCTTCTTCTGGCCTTGTGCCTAAGTTTTAGGTTCAAGCCCAACTTCGTTAGAGAACCTGGCATTAAGGGTTATGATCACCAGTTAATTAAACAGTGTCTTAATTTTTAGTTGATATTCCTTGTTGAGTGACTATCTCATTTAGAAATCTCATAAAGAACAGTCGTTTTTGACAGTACAGGATTTGGGAAATGTGGGAACCATAATTGTTAGGGTGACCAACTGTCCTCGTTTGCCTGTGACTGAGGAGTTTCCTGGGGTATAAAACTTTGAGTGCTAAAACCTGGAAAGTCCCTGACAAGCCAAGATGAGTTGATCATCCTAACTGAAATGCATCTTAAGGCCATTTAAATTTAATTCCTACTATTCGTGCATCCTTGGATATGTAATGAACACTCTCTGTACCTTAAATCCCTCATCTGTAGAAGTTTTTACAAATATTAAATTAGACTAAATTAAATTTCCTAGCACATTTTCTGGTCCTTAGTAGATAACAAACTGATCTGTGTTTCTATTTTATTTTCTTAATTTTATTGGTACAGCAAAATGGAAAATCATATTCAGAGAAAACAACACAAACTAGGAGGAATCGAAATACTTTTCTGGGTGAAAGAATTGCAGAGGCTCCCAGAGCCCCTTTCCTCTCTCAGCTTCCCACCCTAAGGTTAAACAGCATTGGGATTTGGATAGTGCAATGGTGAATGTATTCCACTCCTGGAGTAAACCAGGGGTCACAAATTCAAATGACTGAAGGAGGCCATGCAGGGAAACTCAATGAGTGAAATGGGATGAATGGAACTTTTGGCAAACTGATGGAAAGTGGAGGCAGCAACCACTCAGCCTTAATGGACTGTGGTCACATGGGAAGGAAAATCCAGCATACCATACCTTAACAGTTTTTTCTAGAGAGATCATGTGTATAATTTTTTAAAATGACGAATATACTTATTTAAATATACTGACATCAAATTTAAGACTTTAAAAAACAGTGAATGAATCAATCAAAACATTTCATGGGCCTTTAATCCTCTCACTGAGTTGCTTCATTGCATAAGAGAGTGAAATCAGATGTCATAATAAGACAACTAAAGAAAGTTTATTCTACCCAGGTGGAGTAATCATCATTATTAAAAGAAATCAAAGTAATTAAATGATGACAAAAATAAAAAAGGTTCAGAATTTGGGTTATCTTGTAAATCTAACAAGTCTAAATCTGTGGGGTTGCAAAATTATAAAGGTAGAACCTGCTAGCAAAGCTTCATGAAATGCTTGCAAGCATTAGCTGACAGATTTCAAAACAGTTTGAATATTAGTCATCACACATATGCCTGCCAAAGAGAGTAGTGTTAAAAGAACATCTGCAGCTCACATAAATACCCCCTGCTGAGTTAAACCCAGAGAGGAAATCAACTTCAAAAGTTGCGGAAGGCAAAGAAGCTGAAACAGCAGAGTTTTATATTAAGTGGTTGGTAGACTTTCTCTGGATGAAGCTGCTATTGAGGAGGTAGTTAGCTCCCAAAGTATGACATGCTCGACCTCTAGGTTTTGGTGATAAGAACTTTTGAGGGGTATTTCTACTCAATGAATCACTTATACTGTATAAATAGAATATTTATTCTTTCCACTAGATGATTAACCCTCCTGAGTTATAATAATTTCATTAAATGATGGAAAACCTCACTTAACCCTGGGATGTATCTAATTACAGTATTGGACCAATAAGGCAAACAAATCATAACAATTGCTAAGAAAACAGCAGAGCCTATAGTATTATTATCTTGAACTTTTTCAAAAAGCATAAAAATGTGATTCAAATTGAACAACCTGCCAAATGGGAGACGATCTGCAGAATCATCATTGTTTAGGTCTGAGCCCTATGATTCTGGAGCCTTCATTGCTGCTGCCATCTATTCCTCAGTGAACCACACTGTTTTGCCACAGGACACAGGAGGTTTGACATTGGCTGCAGATTTCTGTGAGTCCTGATTATCTGGGCCAGAAGCACAACAGAGAGAAATCCAAGCTTGATATTACTGAGGATAGCTGTACAGTTTCTTTCTTCAAAGATATGTGTTTAGTTTCTTTCTTCCTTTCTTTCTTTATTTTTTTATTTTTATTTTTTATTTTTTGACTTAACATATCCAAACAGTACAGCTGTAGAGATGGGGACAGAATTTTCTTTTTGTCTTTTGCTTGTGTGTGTGTGTGTGTGTGTGTGTGTAAAGAAAAATAACTGATTCAGAGTTTAAATGCTGCTCTTGTGACTACCTGTCATATAAAGCCAAACAAAGAGAGTCATACACTAAATTATTTCTTCTCGACTTAAAAAAAAAATCCCTGTGAAAACAAACCAGAGCTATCAATCCCCATCACAATGGTAGGTTTTGGTTGATGCGAAAAAATCTTGCATGTGAGTGAGGTTATGATTCAGGAATTGGCTTTTTGAACTTAGAAAATGTTGCCGATATAAGATGATCTGTTTTATCATTAATCTGCAATTCACTAGTTATGCAGCTAAAGGAGACTTATTGAAACAGTAAGATCAGGACCCAAGACCTCAGAATCATTTCTTGGAGGTTTGTCCCATGTGAAAGATAATTTCGTACAGTGAATCATTTTAAGACATTAAGAGTCCATGATGAAACCACACTCTGGAGTTTGAAAAGAGACGGGGCTGCTTTAAGAGAGAAACAGGAAGTTGTAACTAGAAGCCATCTGAATACTAAGCCAAAGCAGAATGCTCATGAAGTAGCAATTTAAGTGGCAGTGTTATTCCGAAATCCTCAGGCAGCCAGATTGTCTTAGGCAAATCTTGATAAAATATCCTTTTTCCAGGCTTTTATCGAAGGAATCCTAAGAAGACTGGTGAATGGAGAGACAGCAAACGCTCATGTCAGAGAAGGACGGGTATCAGTTTCAACATGAGGGAGCAGTGGAGCTGCTTGTCTTTAATTTTTTGCTCATCCTTACCATTTTGACAATCTGGTTATTTAAAAATCATCGATTTCGCTTCTTGCATGAGACCGGTGGAGCTATGGTGTACGGTGAGTGCAGAAATTGCAAGATTCATGTGAAACTTGTTGCTTGGGCATAATTAGAGACTTGTGTTCAGATGGCAAAGTATCGAAACTGGAGAAAATGTGCTGATTGAAAAGTCATTCGCTTGATGAAAGGTGCTGCAGCATAATGAATGCTCATCTTTTTCCAGATGAACTGCTGAAATTTGCCTTGTGAAATTTGTCCTATCACAAGCGTAAAAGCCACAGTCATGTTCTCAGGCAGCAAATAAGGCGAGTCTGTTGACAGATGCTGGTCCATTGTCATGTGAGGAGTCAAACCGGAGAGAGCTGTTTGTGTTGGTAATGATAGTGGGAAGTGATGGCTCTGCAGTCACAGAGCAGCCTCTATAACAGGTGGTGCTGATAGGCATTAGAAAGTTCTAGGAATAACACCACAAAAATGTCTGAAGTAAATCCTCTTAAGTCAACTAGTTTTCAGGAAAAAAACTTGCAGAAACGTACCCCATGCCTCCTACTGGAATAATTGTATCCGAATCCATTTTAATTTAGGAACAATGTTTTATTCTTTTCTAATATACAAGTTTCTTTATACAATACTTTTTATTTCTTAGCCCGATTTCAGACTTTCTAATTTTTATCATTGTCATTGTTTGTATTATGTGGGTGGGCGGAGGTGTGAAAATGCATTTGTTTAACATCTTAAACTCTAAAATAAGGCTCTTTCTGTATAATTTACCACGTCATTTCTTCCAGAAAGTTTAATAAAATGTGAGAGATTATCCAGGCCGTACCCTCATCTTTTAAAGTAAGCGAGACACCAGTAATTTTAAAATTTATTATTTATTGATGAAATAGTTCACTTTACCACTTTTATCTCAGCTTGATAATGGATAGGAACTTTGATCACAATAAAAACAGATGAGGCATTCCTATAATTCATACCAAAGAATATACTTTTACTGTATTTCGCTTCTTTCATTTTGGAAGTCCTGAAGGCTCTTATACCCTTGAGGTTCAGAGAACAAGATCAATGCACATTTTATATGCTAACCAGATGATGTCCTGACAATAATAATTTATAGTTATGATTAGAGACCATAAGAAATCCTATGCCTTAACTGGATCCCACTGTGAGACACAGGCTAGGAGATGAAAGTTTCAGGCTAAGCAGTGTAATCCCTTTTCAGGAGACTGAAGTGCTGATCCATTCAGAGCACAGAGTTAAATTCCTTTGTATTGAGGGTCTTAAATCACACAACAAAACTCTCACTTGAAGGGGAAAAATTACAATCAAGTTGAAGAAACACAGGTAAACAGAAAGAAAGTGATGTCAGATATAAAGCCCTAGGCTCTAGTCACTTGCTCCTCATCTTTTCTTGACTTGGCTAATAAATAATCAACGAAGAATTGCTGGGTCATAAGGTAGATCCATTTGTAATTTTTTGACGCACCTCTGTACTGTTTTCTCTAGTGGCTGCACCAATTCGCAATCCCACCATTGAGGGAACCACTTCATAAATTATACAAATGTCTAAGCACTGTGCTGTATACCTGAAACTAATTAAGATAATATCGAATGTCAACCATAATTGAAAATAAATTCTAAAAATTAATTTATAAAAAATATTGATCTGTATTCTACAACTTTCCTGAATTTATTAGTTCGAACAGTTTTTCAATGGAGTCTTTAGGGTTTTCTATATATAATATCATGCAATATGCAAATAGAGACAATTTATTTTTCTTTCACAATTGGATGCCTTTTAAAAATATTTATTTATTTTTTTTATGGTGGCATTGGTTAATGAAATCCAGTAAGTTTCAGGAGTACAATTCAACAGTAAGGCAAATATGTACATTGTGTTATGCATGCACTGCCCATAGTTAGATTTCTTTCTGTCACTACGTGTTTGATCCTTTTATCCCATCTACCTCCCCATTTATAACCACTAATCTATTGTCCATGTCCATGAGTCTCTGCTTGTTTGTCCTGTTCGTTTGAAAACAATGCAGATTTTAAAATTACAAATATTTATTAGAGGGAAAGATTTCTTCACAACCCTGAATTCAATTGTACTGTGACTCATTTATTTATGATGGAGATACTGTTTTGTAAAACTTTTAATTAAATTTGGTGACCTATGAAAATTAAAACATAATTTGTACTCATAACATAAATGTAACTTTTATTTTGAACCTAAAAATGTTCAGATTACCTTTAATCCTCAAAAACTTCATGAAATACTTTTAAGTTGTGGTTGAAATCATAAAATGTTATCCCATTGCACAGTAGCTGAGATAGCATTTCCTCAATTGATATTCTTAGGCTGTTTAGGCTTAAGTTTTATGAGAGCAGGATTAAGTTGAGGTGTCTGATTTCTCTTCTTTCATGAATTTTTTATGTTAAAGTTATTGAAAACCAGTTCTGAAACAGTGCAGTATAAAAGGATTATACAAATTATGAAGATATGCATTTATATATATTACTATTCCACTACTAGAATTTTCATTATCCTTGAGTTATCTTGAACTATACCAACCAATAAAAAGACTTTTATTTTAGTGTTGTTTAATTTTTTTTTAATTGACACAGAATTATAATTGTTGGAATTTAAGGGGATCTTAGAGGTTATCTTCTCCAGCCCTCTCATTATATGGAGAAAGAAACTAAATCTCAGAGAAGTGAAATAACTTGCCCAAAACTGAATAGCCACTCACAGCAAGGTCCATGTGCTTTTACTCATCCACATGTATAATAAGTTCATGTTCACCTTAATAGAGCTCTCACTTATAGTCTCTGAAAATAGTCCATATGGATGGCATTAGTGACACCTCATATTTCTTCTTCAGGGATGATCTAAATGTTATATATGAAATGTTTATTAGGTACTTCCTGTCAATGATGTAATAAAATAGTCTGAAGTTACAACAGAGAAACAAATGAGACATTCTAATAAACACTTTTAAGTTTTAAGGGACAAGGAGATGCCAAGTGAATAAATTGCTTGGTAGATATAAACAAATTTGAAATTAATAGATTGGGAAGTAGCCTTAGAGAGCATAAGTCTAACGTCCTCATTTCAAAGGCATGAAAACAAAGACTTAGAGAGTAAAAATTACATAATTAGTTAGCTGCTGAGCTAGGATTCAACCTCCATCTCTAAGAGATGATAAAGGTATTTTAAAATAAGTCCATTCTCTCAATAATCATCCTGAAGAGAGGATGTACCTGTGAAATCCAGTTGCATCCTTATATTGTTTATGCTTTCGGGTTTAGTCAGATAGATTCTATTTTCTAAGAAGTTCAAGAGTGAAATTTCAGAATAAAACTATATAAAACTCTTCTTTATTAGAATATGGAACTCATGGTTCTTGCCAAAGTCCTGCAAGGGTCATGGTTATAATCAATGGGGAAGAAAAGAAACAAACCTATGGTTAAAATTTAAACATTTAAATTTTTTTCATAAAGGAAATGAACATTTGAGAATAAACTGTACCTCAGTCATCTTCATCCTACAGTTATATATATACTTGTAATGAAACATCTTCTAAGATTTTTGTAGTAGCACATCTAATGCTTATCAATGAATTTGGCTATCAGTTCCTCTATTGAACTGACTACTGCTCTTGTGCTCATCAACTTTTGGTATAATGGGTTATTTTCCTCTGTATTGACAGCCATGAGTATTTTTCTAAAACACCAAATCTCCTGTAATACTTCAACCCAGTCTGCCATCTGTCTTTCTACTGGTATTCCATTGACATATTGCAAATATTCTTTAGAAGACATAGTAGATGTTGATGCATTTTATCAATATACCAAGGAATCCAATTAAAACATTCTAGGGAGCAGGGACTTAGGATATGAGCAGTTAAAGTAACATGAAATAACACGTGATCAAACAGAACATTTAACTGCTCCTTTATTCATTGTTAGAAACAATTTCCAAGTTGTTAACCTTAAAATAAGTGCATTGTTTGGTTGAACTCTGGTTTTTGGAGCTAACTCTGCTACTCCAAATGCAAGTGATTCACTATGTACAAAACAGCTTTTCTCTTGGTACTAAGGGTCACAGGATGCTTTTAAAATTAGTGGCAGCATTATAACAATATTTTTGCCTTACTAGAAACAGTAATGGGTAATTGTATCTCATGACATTCTATGCTCTCATTATTTCAAAACTGAAAGATTAGAATCCATAACTGGTTTAAAATATAAGCCACAGTAATATTCATTTAAATTGGACTAAAAGCTTAAATGACTGTTAATGGTCAAAATATTGACTGATAGCAGCTGGTGCACTTAGTACTGCTCACTTAAGACCCTATATCCCTGCTCTTGTTCATAAAAGAAAAATTGCTTATTGTTTCCTGATAGCATTAAAATTTTCATTACACATAACTGGGGACATTCATAATGCCATGTACTCAAGTGTTGAGATCTGAGCTTAGGGACAGAACAATTTAGAAGTCTACCTTTTAGAAGTCTACCTTTGATTTCATGGCCTTACAATATATAGCACAGCCTCTGAATTCATGTGGAAATTTTGCTAACTGTTTAGTGGGCAGAAGTGAAATTTTTAGTGCCAAAGTTCAGATTTTTTTTTTTAATTCGAATTCATTAAACTATCAAATTATGTCTGATCCTCTGAGTATACTTACCAGTTTAATATGGCCAATTTAGTTCACTCAACAGCATGTTTTTCAAAATTTAAAGAAAATATAATTACATAGTGAATCACCAAGGTTTTAAAGTTATCTTCTTTTTAAAAAAATCACATGGCATCAATTTTTCCTAGCACTGCTTAGAGATTCCTCAGAATAAAATTGGGTTGTTGGACATGGTGTGGCTCCACCCAACTGATGCATCTAGCGCTACCTCCTTGACTGCCAGGCCCATAAGACAAACTGGCCCTTATTGCCACTTCCCATCCTTCCACCTGCTTGGAAGTTCCTTCCCAAGGAGGCCTTTTACTTGTTTGTGTGTGGCAGGCTTTACTGAGAAAGCATTGGATTCTCTCTTG